TTTAGGTTTGTGTTTTTTTTCTTTTGCCCAGAGCTGATCCCAAATTTGTCCTCGCCAAGGGCAGCGCTGGGGATGCAAAGGTGGAGCAGGGGAGGCTCTGCTGATGTGCAAAAACAGGAACAGAACAAAGTCAGCGTTTTCCCAAAGCTGAGGAGCTTCCCCGAGCCCACCTGGAGCTCCGTCCTTGCCAGAACATTGGGAAAAACACCGATTTTGGGGGCAGCCACAAATGATTTTGTCCTATAGGAAAACTGGGAATACCTGGAAGAAAATCCTCCCCATGGAAGGGAGAAGGGACGGCTTTGACCTGGTGATTTTCTGGGGAGAAAAATATTTTAAAAGGGATTTTTTTGGGTTTTTTTGGGTTTTTTTGGGTTTTTTTTAATCTCCTGGCTGCCCCCAGGATGCAGGAATTGCCCTGCCTGGGGACACGCACCCGAAATTCCCGGTGGGAACGTGAGCGGGGCAGCTCCGAGGGAAGTTTGGCGTGATGGGGTTAAAAAAGGAAAAAAAAAGGATTATTGCTGCTGAGAACAAATTCATCTTTCTGCCTTCCCCAGTGGCTGGAGGCTCCTTCCATGAACGCTGGGAATTCATGGCAGGGATTTGTAGGAATTCCAATGGGATCCATGTCCCAGGGATTTGTAGGAATTCTGGTGGGATCCGTGGCACAGGGATTTGTAGGAATCCTGGCAGGATTTGTAGGAATTCTGGTGGGATCCGTGGCACAGGGATTTGTAGGAATACCAGTGGGATCTGTGGGCAGGGATTTGTAGGAATTCCAGCAGGATTTTTGGCACAGGAATTTATAGGAATTCTGGTGGGATACGTGTTCAAGGATTTGTAGGAATTCCAGTGGGATCCGTGTTCAGGGATTTGTAGGAATTCTGGTGGGATCCATGGCCCAGGGAATTGTAGGAATTCCAGCAGGATCCATGTCCCAGAGATTTGTAGGAATTCTGGTGGGGTTTTTAGCACAGGGATTTATAGGAATTCTGGCGGGATCCGTGTTCAGGGATATGTAGGAATTCCGTCAGGATCTGTGTCCCAGGAATTTGTAGGAATTCCAGCAGGATTTTTGGCACAGGGATTTGTAGGATTTCCAGCAGGATCCGTGGCCCAGGGATTTGTAGGAATTCCAGTGGGATCCTTGGCACAGAGGTTTGTAGGAATTCTAGTGGGATTTGTGGCACAGGGATTTGTAGGAATTCTGATGGGATCCATGGACAGGGATTTGTAGGAATTCCAGCGGGATCCATGGACAGGGATTTGTAGGAATTCCGTCAGGATCTGTGTCCCAGGGATTTGTAGGAATTCTGGCGGAATCCTGGATGGGGAGGACGAGCTGCACCTTGCGCTGTCCAGCTCTGGCATGGATGAGCTCTGGGCCATTTTTTTGGGATTTTTCCGGGTCTGTCTGCTGGGAATTGCTGGAGCTGGGCTGGATCAGGAGGGAATTGTCGCTCCCAGTGGGATGAGGGAGGGGTGGGGTGTCCGGGCAGGGTGGCAGCGGCAGCTGGGTGACATCTGGGTGACATCTGGGTGACATCTGGGTGACACCCGGGTGACACTTGGGTGACATCCTCAGCAAGGTCAGGGCAGGCTCCGGCTCTGGGGAGAGGGAGGGGAGAGGAAATAATGAGAGAATGTGGGGGATAAATGGAGAATATGGGGGATAAATGGAGAACTCATAGGATAAATGGAGAATCTGTGGGATGAGGGAGAGAATCTATGGGATAAATGGAGAATCTGTGGAATAAATGGAGAATGTGGGGGATAAATGCAGAATATGGGGGATAAATGCTGAATATGAGGAATAAGTGGAGAATCTGAGGGATAAAATGGGAATCTGTGGGATAAATAGGGAACCTGTGGGATGAGGGAAGGAATCTGTGGGATAAATGGGGAATACGTGGGATAAATGGGAGAATCTGCGGGACAAAAGTTAGAATCTCTGGGATAAATGGGAGAATTTGTGGGATAAACGGAGCATGTGTGGGATAAAGGGAAAATCTCTGGGATAAATGGGAGAATCTTTGGGATGAGAGGATCTGAGGGGCAAATGCGGAATCTGGAGGATGAATGGAGAATCTGCGGGATAAATGGGAGAATCTGTGGGACAAATGGGATAATCTGTGGGATGAATGGGTCAATCTGTGGGATGAATGGGTCAATCTGTGGGATGAGGGAATCTGAGGGGCAAATGCAGAATCTGGAGGATGAATGGAGAATCTGTGGGACAAATGGAGAATCTGTGGGATAAATGGGATAATCTGTGGGATGAATGGAAAATCTGTGGGACAAATGGGAGTGTCTGTGGGATAAATGGGAGAATCTGTGGGACAAATGGAGAATCTGTGGGATGAATGGAAAATCATCACTCAGCTCCCCTTCCCCTGCCAAGCACCACCCCAGACACTTTGGATCAGCCCCTGAGCCCCCCCAGAACCCCCCAGAGACCCCCGGGCAGGGCTGGCACCGCCGGGGAGCTGCTCCTGGGAGAGGTGAGGAGGCACCCGAGGTGCCCCGGCGTACCGAGGGGACAGGAGGGGTCCGGGCAGAGCCGCTCCTCACACGGCCGTCTCCTGCCCCCCGCCAGCCTCTTCCTTCTTCCTCTTCATCTTGCAGAAGCCGTGGAGGCCACAGAAACAGGCGAAGGTGAACTGGGGCATCACCTGGAGCTGGAGAGGCTCGGGAGCAACTCCGGGAGACCTGGAGGGGGACAGGGAGAGGAGACAGGGCAGCAGCTGGGGGTGCAGGGACAGGGTGGGGAGCAGAGCCCCAAAATCGGGGCATCACCTTGGGCTGGGACTTCCTTCCTTCCTTCCTTCCTTCCTTCCTTCCTTCCTTCCTTCCTTCCTTCCTTCCCATTTTCCTTTCCTTTCCTTTCCTTTCCTTTCCTTTCCTTTCCTTTCCTTTCCTTTCCTTTCCTTTCCTTTCCTTTCCTTTCCTTTCCTTTCCTTTCC